GGCCAGGATTCAGCTTCCTACCTGAACTCTGAACTTCCACATGGTGCCAACTGGAATCCCAGGAATTGGTCCATAGTGGTTCGAGGGGACAATGGTACATTCCTTTGTGCGACCAACACATGCCATACCCTATTTCAAAGAGCAAGACCAATCAGCCAAGAATTACAGGGAACTAACACACACTATTCTTCAAAATAAAACAGCTTTTGAACTGACCTTGCCCCAGTCTCTCCGCGAGGATGAATTAGCAGATGCCATCTTTTGTTTCTTTTTACTTTCTTTTAATTTCTCTCCTGCTAAAACCACCTCACTTGCATCATTTCGACATTCAGGGCAATACCTAAAGTCACCAGTCAATGAAAATTAACTAGTAGCAAAGCCTTAAATTAAAAAAGAATTTCCTCAAAACATACTGAGTTATGTTACAATTTCCCCATGTGAAACTAGACAGGACACTGAAACAACTCTCCATACTGGAATTAGACCTGTATTAGCTAGTATCCTTGCACAATCTTCTAAGCAATTGCAGGTGTGTCAGGAAGTCAGCTGTATCATAAAAAACATGGTATAAAATGCTGAAACAGGACTCAAGGAATAAAACAGTGTATTTCACTCTCTATATAGAATCATAGAATTGTTTAGGTTGGAGAAGACCTTTAAGATCATCAAGTCCAACCATTAACCCAGCACTGCCAAGCCACATCGACACGTCTTAAATCTCTCCAGGGATGGTGACTCCACCACTTCCCTGGGCAGCCTGTTCAGTGCTTGACAACCCTCCAGGTGAAGAAATTTTTCCCAATATCCAATCTAAACCTCCCCTGGTGCAACTTGGCCTCTTGTCCTATCGCTTGTTAGCTGGGAGAAGAGACCAACACCCACCTCGCTACACCCTCCTGTCAGGTAGTTGTAGAGAGTGAGGTCTCCCCTCAGCCCTCTTTTCTCCAGGCCAAACTCCCCAGTTCCCTCAGTCGCTCCTCATCAGACTTGTGCTCTAGACCCCTCACCAGCTTTGCTGCTGCTCTTCAGACACGCTCCAGCACCTCAGTGTCTTTCTTGTAGTGAGGGGCCCAAAACTGAACACAGTGTTCAAGGTGCAGCCTCAACGGTGCCAAGTAACGGGGGGACAATCACTGCCCTAGTCCCTGCTGGCCACACTATATGTACATAGATAGATGTATTTCACTATCTCTATCTATCTATAACCATATATATTTCATATATAAAACAGTAGATATCATCAGCCTAATATGATGATGGGGCCTGTGGACTACCTGTAAGTGACCCATAAAAACCATTATACAAGTTAAGCCTCCTGGCATCAGGTTTGCACTTGGTTTATAGGTAGCTCCAGTTCTCTTCAAATAGGCATACAGGTCCCAAAACTAGGAAAAGAAATTTGAAAACCACTAGCTTAGAACATACTCTCACTAAACTGATGCTCAAGAAAAGCTATAAAGTCCTACCAAAAAAACCCAAAACCACACAAACATTTCTTCAGTTTGTACAGTCAGAAGCTTGCCACCTAAGGGCAAGACGAAGCCCTAGACCTCACTTTCTGCTCCTAATTAGATGGTAATTGCGATACCACACACACATACTTAGAACTTACCAATCCTCATCATCTGGTATACTACTAAGGGGAGGGTTGAGGCAGTAGATGTGGAAAGCCATATCACACTCATCACACATAAGCTGTTTATCCGGATCTTGTTTACCTCCACAGATATGGCAAGCACAAATTCTGCAGGTCTTGTTTGGGTTGTCCTTACAAGCTTTACACACAGGTCCATTTTGTCCTGTTAGCAAAAAGAAACCTCAGTACATATTCAGGCTCCAGAAAGTGCCAAGATATACTGGAAACAGTCAAAGGAATCACAACTACAAGTGTCTCGGAACTCTTAAACCTCTGATCCTCACAAAGCCGAGACATGCAAGAACTACGCAACAGACTCACGTTTTAACAGACCGGCGCTAATTGGACAAGCACTGCCTGGTTCTTCAATTTTATAAATTTCATCCACTAATGTAATTCTGCAGTCATTCAAGGAATCACCAGCATCCCTATAAGTTGGTAAAAGTGAAAAAAGATCATACTTTGAAAGTATCATAAAGCATGAATTCACGGCTGTACATGTACATCGGTAATGCAGACTGGTCTGGTATTAGTCCTGTATCACAAGAAACCTGTTACAGCATTACATTATCTGGGACAGCATCAGCATGAGTCAAATCGTTTTCATGCGATTAAAACCTAACCCCTTTTGTCTCAATAAGAATCCAGACACTTGTAACATTCCAGTTATCATTAGTGACTCTTCTCCTCCCCAAATATTTCATACTAACTCTTCTCATTTTATAGTTAAAAAGTCAAAATCACTGTGGTGAGAGGAGAAGGGAGGAATATTGTGATAACCTTGTGAAACTTGTCTGAAACTTTAAAAAAATATATACTTTTTTCTCCTGAAGATGAAAGTCCCTTATATACAGGCTGATTTTCTCCTCTAGGTGAAAATCGGAGTAATTTATCATCATCTTTACAAAGTGAGGGTTCTGTCTACATTATATCTACTACAAATCATTGCACTGAAGATTTTGTAAAATCATTATGGATAGTTAACACAGTAAACAATTCTTCGCCTCTTGGTGAATATGGGGCTTCACACCCTCCCAGCATTATGTGAATCCACGGATCAGCGTGCACTGTGTTGCCTTAAAGTGTCCAATTTCTCCAGAAGAAGTTAATCAAAAGTGCAGTACGACGAAGTCAATCACCCAAAAAGGACAGCCCAGCTTCTCGTGTCTCCCCAGCACTTCTCTTGCACCATTTGCGTTGCATTGGTTTTTTTGGCAGAATCACTTGGACCTCATGAAAGCTTAAGTAGAGTTGAAGAGTTCAATTTATTCCACATTTCTATTCTTTATGAATTTGCTTACCCAAGTAATATCTTTGCATTTATCTCCCTGATCATTTTCGTTTCCCTTTTTTGCAGAATCTCCGCATCGTACCAAAAACCTCTCTCTTTTGGTTCATCGGGATTATAGTTGACCATCACCACCTGTCCTACTTCTAGCTGGTGCCACTTCAAAATAGTCCGTGCACGAGCCCGTACATCATTCGAACTCAATTCTACGACTCCATTCTCTGGGTAACTTGAAGTAGAAGGGAGGCAGGGGGGGACAGAGAAGAAAAATCAGATTCAACATCACAAGTTGTTATAAGTGATAGATTTTATCCAGACAGGTCAATTTAACAACTGATGCCACACACAACACACAAGTACACCATCAGGAACAAAATCCCCCTCTCCCACACAGACACAGCCAGAATCAGGCAGTCTAACTTTGCTACTATTGTATCCCATTTAAAACTTGGATAACGGCATTTCATATTTCTAAAAACTTGATTCCAGCCCAGTAGAATTCCAGTTGGAATTCCAGCTGTAAGACAAACTTACAGTTAACAGGGTTCAGCCATGTAACAACTGTGCCAGCCCAGTTCTGTTTTACCTTGTGGATCTCTACAATAAAATTTCCCATCAACATCATGATCCAAATGACTTTATTAACCAAGAAGGTAACAAAACTCACTCTTCGTATTTCACGTGGTATATTACATCTTCTTCAGGAATGGTTGTTGGCTGCTCAGGATCTGTGCAAATGTCAGCTGATTCATTTGTAGGTTTTCTTCTGGTTACATTTACAACTTGGGCTTCAAACCATGCTCCCATATTCATATCTCGAGCATCAACCAAGTCATTGATCTATACAAAGCAAAGTGTACAGCTCACCAAAAATGGATTTTCAAATTAAGTATTAATTTCCAAGTCTACTTGAAGATTTAACCATTTCAAGAACTTCATTATCAAGATATTTAACAGATCATCTTAAAAATTAAGATTTCCTTTGCCTTCCTGATCCCATTGTGCACCCCTACAGTCTTCTCAGGTTGAACCTCTAAGGCTAAAAATACATTCTGCACCACCATGTGTACAAACAGCTTTCTTATCTAGTATAAATCATTATTAGTTAGTCTATAACAGACTTTCAGGACTGTCTTGCTCATAGTCTGGCAAAGACATCACTAGATCTGTAATAAAATCCATGGAATCAGACAAGTAAAATTATTCTGAACAGCTGGTTGAGATTTTCTTTTGTTCATTCAAGAAAGTTTCAGCTTTGACAAATGCAGTGACTCCAAGCAAAAATATTGAGAAAATTTTTTAAATCAAAACAGGCACTCTCAATGCCTTTTCTTTTTTTTTCCCCCCCAATCAATTCATGTATTGTAGTTTTAGTTAAAAGGATAAAATGAAAAATAAAATGTTTTGACCTACAACATGTTGCATTCAATTGGTTTGTGGGTTGGTTGGTATTTTTGTTTGTTTGTTCTTGGAGCATTTAAGAAAAAAAAGGGAAAACACCCACACAATTGGGGCATTAAAGATTTTTAGAAATTCTCAACTACAGAGAAACAATTCCCCTCCTAAAGTGCAAGTTTTAAATAATCTTAGTTTTTTATTAACTCACCTTATAGAGACCAAATCCCGGGTCAGTCCAGTCGGATTGCGCCGCCGTGCTCGGCTGTCCCTCCAGTTCCATGGCACCTTCTCCATTGTGAGAGCTTTTGTCAGATTCGCTTTGGCCTGAGCCACAGCCAGAGTCTGTGTCGGAGAGTTCAGAATCCTTTTCCTTACTAACAGCAGGAAGCACTGCTGGGCTTTGTCTGACCAAGAGTTGAACAATATCGTTCAGTCCAACACTGTAATCGAAAAGGGAGTGACCATCTTCCATCTACAGGGAAAGCATCAAAATAATCTGGTTATTTCGTTCAACAGAGATTCTCCAATTCAAAACCACCCATCATGCTGTAATTGTCTCTGTGTGCCAAGAAAGACCACGTTGCTTGAAAACCATTAACAATCAAGGAACTTGGCAGTTCTTCAGCATCACAGTTACTTATAGATTGTTGTTCTTCCTATTTAAAATGTTCTTTTTTCAACAGACTCTCCAAGCTAGAAAAACAAGACTTCCATGCTGCGGTAGACTTGCTACCCAGATTAAGCCACAGCATTCTAGGAGGTCTGAAAAGGTTTGCAGTACATTCCCTAGAAATATCAACTCTGGGAAGAAGGACTTCAAGAACTACAGATCCCCTAAATTCCTATCAGGATTTAAAGATAATTCCACGTGACCTACAAACTCGAAAGGAAGCTCTTTCTTCCTTAATTCAGACACATCCCATAACATGAACACTAACGCAGACTGGTCTTTATATTGTAATTGTGTATGTCATTGTTACAACATCGCTCTGTTAAACGTGGCATTAACTAGAAGCCAAAGAGTTAATCACCTACTTTTCTCTGGGCAAGCACACAATTTTTCCATTGAGAGTAAAATCAAAAAAGAGTCAATTCAACTTGAAACTACCCAATCACGTTGTAGCACAGCCAGGCATGCCCTAATTTCACACTCTGTCTAATTTTAAGAGTTTATTTTGCAAGTCAAATCAAGATCCTACCCCTGCAAAAAGTAAGAGAAGCGCAGAGGACCAAACAGTTCTTTCAATTACCTTTCAAGAACTCTGAGGAGCACTACCGTTTTAGAGTTAAAATGTAATACTTGAGACCACAATGCAGTTAGAAGTTTAGACAAGCTTCACCACATATTTAAGGTCTGACTAAGAAATTATACAGGAAATGACCATCCCCTTCCAGCCCAAACCACCAGAAAACGCAATCCCCAGAGCTTTGTTCTCTATCAGGGGGAAAGAGAGCAAAACCACAAAAATTTACACTTCACGGGAATCACTATGATAATTCAATTCTGATTTATGGCATAAAATGGCTATGGAACAATCCCTGGAAATTTGACCGTGCAGGGAGCGATCTAGACTTTTTCTGGTTTAGAGATGAAAACTCACGGAGATACACAAGAACAAACCAGAAATCGGTTGTTTCTTCTTAACAAAGAGACAATATTACAAATACGGTATCATTAGCAACAGTAGTTATCACCAAAGAACACAAGTGACGACAGGTGCAAACAGAAATGGAAAAGCAGAGAGCACGAACAGAGCATCAAACCGCGGGAGTTCAAAGGAGAGTCTGCAAGAAGTGCCAGCATCTGAAAACGTACCTCTGACAAAGGAGGCAGGTTTTTTAATTAACAAGTATTTTTCTAACATAATTTTTAAATTTTTACTACTAGTAATTAGAACATTTCTAGCGATTCAAAAAGCCAGACAAAGCACAAATGAGCACAGCAGGGGAACGATGAGTAAGAGAGGTTAGATCACACTAGATAAATGTTTCTGTCTAAAACCACACCTAAACTAAGAACTACTGGAGTTACACAAAGAGGAATTATCTTTGCAAGGCAAGTGCATCCTTTCTGAAAAAAGCTATCACTTCTACTGAAAATCTGTTCAACCCTAGTTATCTGCACAGACTTCAGTGTAAGTAAGGCTGACAGCTGGTATGTACCCTGGACCAATCCTCCCTTATCACTTTATCTACAACAACAAATGGGTAATTACTGCACCCGAATCTACACTAACAACAAAACCGAGGTGACAAGCCCTTCAGAGATGCTACATATTCCTACAAGCCTCTTTTTTTACTACTACCGGTACCCGAGCTTGCTAGATTAATGCAAATCCGGGTGTATTTCCATATCCTACAGCCACATATACTAATTATAATGTACAGCTAGCTCTAGTTATCCTAAAAGGGAGGGAAAGGTGGAAAAAAAGCGACTAGAAGAAATTGTCGAACTCCACCCATCTCACAGTATTCCCATTGCAGTCTAAAGTAGCCCGCTATTTCTGAAATGAATTTCTTTAAACAACAAACCACCGGTTCAGAAGTTTGTTTAGCATGAAAGTTTAGCAGTGCAGTACTATGGAGGATACGGAAAATGCATTTGAAAACAGTTTCAGTTGTTTTTAATACTAATTTAGGTGCATTATTAACTGTACAACTCCGATCGTAAACAGACTGTCGAGAACATAATATGCTACTGAACCACTCAAGGTTTTACAACGGGTTCTGTACCTAATGAGATTTTGATGTAAGAGCAGAAAAACTTAAAAATCACGGGCTGTTATCTCAATTTACAATGAAAAATGGGAAACGGGATCTTTACGGCTTTCAGAGCAGTAAAATTTGCAAGGCTCAAAAAACTTCAAGCACTTTAAAACCACAAAACCGCTGGTCATATCTGTATTTTCAGAGACTTCGGCAGAGCGGTGTCAAGACAGAAAAGCAGCATATTAGATGAAAAATAGTAAGGGGGGAAAAAACCACCACCTTTGCAAGTAAAAAAAAAAAAAACACCCAAAAAACACTATCTTGCTGAATCCTCCGGAATCAGTAGATGGCAGCAAAACACCCCGTTTTCAAGCAATTACAAAAAAAATTAATTAAAATATCCCTCTCCAGCTAGCGGGGGACACGGTTGGAG